TGGCACTGAGAATGTGGGCTTCTTCTACGGCAAACGCTCTCAAGCTTTCTTCTTCTGTCTCTAAGTCTCATCTCTCTCCTGCTTTCTCCATCTCTAGATGCTTCTCCACAGGTGATTGTAATAGTGAATGTAGAACTTGTTGTGTCTTACATAGCTTTTGTCTGAAATTCTTGACGAGTCTCTCTGTTTTTTCTTTGACTAGTGTTGGAAGGATTGAAGTACGCAAATTCACACGAGTGGGTTAAACATGAAGGCTCTGTTGCCACCATTGGCATCACTGACCATGCCCAGGTAAACAAAACATCCACTTATCTCACCGTTCTGAGTGACAAAGATGCGAACTTTACGAGTTAAAATACCGTAAAACCGGTATCTTATCTCTTTTGGAGGATCAGACATGAGATTGATGTTGCAGGGTCATTTAGGCGAAGTGGTGTTTGTAGAACTACCAGAAGAAAATGGTTCAGTGAGCAAAGAGAAAAGCTTTGGAGCAGTGGAGAGTGTGAAGGCAACAAGTGAGATCTTATCGCCGATCTCAGGTGAAGTCATTGAGGTTAACAAGAAGCTCACTGACTCACCAGGCTTGGTATGTTTTAAAACTCAAGTTATCTCTCTCAAGTGACAACAACATTATAAGCACACTGATTGCAAATTGTCCTCCTTTTTTCTTGTGTGTGTAGATCAACTCAAGCCCTTATGAAGATGGTTGGATGATCAAAGTGAAACCAAGCAGTCTTGCAGAGTTGGAATCTTTGATGGGTCCAAAGGAATACACCAAGTTCTGCGAAGAAGAAGACGCTGCTCACTAGGATGGTTTCTCTCTGTTTTTTATGTTCCAAAATGCTCTCAAAAGAAATCAAGTCATAATCATTCAATTCTCTCATGCTTGTTTCCTCAAATGCATACACTAATGACCAACAATAAGAGTTTAAGAAGATGAAACAGAGATCTAACAAACACACCGAGAATTTATGTTTCATTGACAAACTTATTTTATACACTAGAGTCTATAATTATTCTTTGTTAACATATAGTAGAAGTTATACCGATTTCGACATGACCTAGCCTCGGTTTCTTTGCTTGTGGTCGCCATCATAAATATGAATCTTTTATTCATTCCGGTTAGATTTTGGTCCAACTTCTTGTTTATAGATATTATATTTTCTTCACGTTATTTAAATCATATAAAGTGAAATGTTTCTTGTTCTTTTTTTTTACCCACAATCTGCTTCTTTCTATTATAATCATCATCATAGCCAATAAGGCAAGTTAGGTCCCTAATGGTTGGTTGTATCTAACTTTGACAAAAACTGAAACATCCAATATGATAAAAATTGGGCATGAAAACACACATAACGACATGTAAGTAACATATAGAGAACATTAACACAGGAAGCACGCACATATATTCATATGCACGTACAGAGATGCACAGAAACAGGACATAACTTTCCAATGGAGATCAAGCTATGGTTCTCTTTGATAGTGCTTTCCGCGATTACGACCTCTGCTTTGGGGGACTTTGGAGGACCATTAGTGGGAGGTTTCTACAAGGAGAGTTGCCCATTAGCAGAAGAAATCGTGAAGCATAACGTAGAGGTTGCTGTTCTCAAAGATCCTCGTATGGCTGCTTCTCTTCTTCGTCTTCAATTCCACGACTGCTTCGTCTTGGTTAGAAATCGTCCCTCTCTACTATTTTTTTTTCCCTCCTTTGCAGATTTTGTCATTTTTTGCTTCTATATTCTCTCTAAGTTCATAGCTTTTTCTAGTGGTTTCAAGGCTCCCTAACACTAGCATACAGTACATACTTCTTGAATTGTATTCAAATTTGCGTACACGAGAGTTAAGATAGTCTTCTTGCATTGCTTTTATTGTGGGTTTAGGGTTGTGATGCGTCTGTGTTCTTGGACACACATGGAGATATGTTGAGTGAGAAACAAGCAACTCCTAACATAAACTCATTGCGTGGGTTCGAAGTAATCGATTACATAAAGTACCTCCTAGAAGAAGCTTGTCCTCTAACCGTCTCTTGTTCCGATATCCTCGCCATGGCAGCTCGTGATTCCGTCTTCCTGGTAAATTCACCTTCAATCCCTAAGGATGTTGATGTTCCTTACCAAATTGAAACCTATGAGGTCAAATTTTTTCCTAAAACTGATTGGTATTAACAGAGAGGTGGACCATGGTGGGAAGTTTTGCTAGGGAGAAGAGACTCATTAACGGCAAGTTTCGCCGGCGCAAACCAATTTATCCCGGCACCAAACTCGTCCCTCGAAAGCCTCATTGTCAATTTCAAGCAACAAGGCCTCGACTTTCAAGATCTCATCGCTCTTTCGGGTGCTCATACAATAGGTAAAGCGAGATGCTTGAGCTTCAAGCAACGCATCGTTCAACCAAACATGGAACAAACATTCTATGTAGACGAGTTCAAAAGACACAGCACATTCCGGCGAATCCTACGGTCACAATGCAAAGACTCGAGCCGCGACAACGAACTGTCACCGTTGGATGTAAAGACACCGGCTTACTTTGATAACCATTATTACATCAATCTGTTAGAGGGAAAAGGGTTGTTGATTTCTGATAACGTTCTTGTCAGTGAAGATCATGAAGGAGAGATCTTTAAGAAAGTTTGGGAATATGCAGTTGATAAAGATCTCTTTTTCTTAGATTTTGTGGAATCTATGTTGAAAATGGGTAGTATTAATGTTCTTACAGGTATTGAAGGTCAAGTTAGAGAGAATTGTAGATTTGTCAATATCTGAATCTTGGAGTTTGAATTATGCATTAATATTGATTTGTGAGCATATATATAAAACCACCAAAATCAAGTTCAAAGATTTTATAAACCCACCAATAGACGCACAACTATTAGAAACCCTTTGTTACACTATACAATAACAAATTTGGTCAATACCATTACAAATTTGACTAGATTAGCACGATTTCTACTCCACTGTTTCACGTAGATTTCTGCACTAATATGTTAATAATCTTCACTTTGCAAGAGACACCGGATGTGTTATATATTTATTTGTTTGTCCCACATCAGCTTAAGATGTTAATCCAAACCAAATTTCTAAAGTTCATAATGTCTATTATGAGCATTAGTTTATAATTTGAAGTACAAGAGATTCTTCAGGGCATCAGTTTATCACCAAACTTTTAACATGAATCTGTTTAATAATATCAAAAGTCACTACTTTGAATCTGAAAATCAGTTCTCCAAGGTGAATATACATCAATATGATTTCAGTTGCAAATTACCCATTTGTTCTTTGAGGTTCATCATATTCTCAGTAACATCAGATAATATTTCAGTGGATCAACTCGACACAGTTCAAAGATTTTTTTTGTCCAAAAGAAAACATATCCAATTTACACAACACAATTACAAAACTCTGGTCTACTGTTTCATAGTTTTAAAATTCAAAATTTGCAGTACCAAGAGTTTTTTTTCTTCTTCTGGGCATCAGTTTATCATCAAAGTTAGCATCAATGAAGATTCAGACGCAAATTACCCATGAAATATAGTTTCATCACATGCCCAGGCTACAATATAAGAAACACAAATTCTTAAAGATCAACTACAAGAAATCCCAAAAAGCTTTTTTGAATCTGAGAATCAGTTCTCCAAGGTGAATAAACATCAATTTGATTTCAGTCGCAAATTACCCATTTGTTATATGAGATTCATCATATTCCCAGATCCAAAACAAAACAACTTTCATAAGAAAAATCAATACAAATTAAGGGTTTTTATTCAGAGTCGATCAGAACCTGTCGAGATCACAATCACATCACAAAAGTTCAGTGGATTGACAGACTTGTGAAATTTTTATCATCACCTCGACTCAAAAACCCTAAAGATTTTAAATTTGAATACCCAAATAAAAAAACTTGAAATAAAGATCTGGAGAAGCTCAGAACTTCTTAGAGGGTTGTGTTATACCGTCAGCGATGAAGAAAACCCCATCTACGGACACGAGTTTTTTTCCTCACAGCAATCAGATCTTTTAAAATTTGTAGGAAAACAAATAAGAAAACAGAATCGAAGAAGATGACATGAACCCTAAAAAAGATAAACGAGTCTGGACAACACAATCGGCTTGTCTTCATCATTGTGTGATGTGTGTGTATATATATACTAGTTTAAGAAGCCCTAATTTTATTCCTTTGTTTTTTTGGGCTTTTCTTTTTGGTTGACCAGTGGATTGTACTACAATGCATTAGATTTTATGGGCTTCCTTGACTAATTACGGCCCCTTCATGTGTGGACTTTGTTGTTGACAATTCTTTTTCTTTCTTTTTTTTTTGGAAATTGAAATGTCTAATTTTGAACTTCCATAGCTGAAATTTCAAAACCAACAAAAGATACTTTTATGAAACACAATGTAATTTTCGTAACAATTTGTATTAGTCGAAGTACATAGCAACACAATGTAATTTACGAAACTAATACTTTTTTGTATCATTTTAACTGATTTTTTTTTTAAATTAGATAATATTTTTTAGTTTTCTATTTAAAAATTAAATATATTTTTATTTGGTATGACTATTTGTATTATGCAGATTAATTTTCTATTGGTTGAATTGTATTTAATTAGATGATGAAATATTTTAATTTAGAAAAAGTAAAAAAAAATGTTTTCTTAATTTGTGTAACATCCTGAAAAATCAACTATTATGAATTATAATACAGAGAGTACAATTTGTTAGTCAAAGAACATGTTTTCTTTTAAATTCAAAATTTGACTTTTCAATTTATTTGGTCAAAGTAATCTCATAGTATTACATGACACATACCCAACACAAAGTACATGCATGAGATTTAATTTTACTATCTCACTTATTATTTCATCTTAAACACAAACGTTCAACAAAATTATTTAAAGAGCTTTTTAGCAGCTAAGGTTAGGACCAGGGTCCACACCAAGCTGCCCACAATAGTCTCTATAGTACCCAATCCTTGCATTAACCTTATCGGGACTCGCACCGTTACACTCTAGTCTTCCATTGATGGCTCGAATGGTGGCTCCAAATCCTTGGTCTAGTACCGGCCTTACGTTATTCATCCAAAACCACAAAGCTGTCCTGAAAGCTACAGTTGGATTGCTACCCACAAGCTCAGGCTGACCTAGAAGGTCGAGACCGAGACTCTGACCACACGGTGCGTAGTTGTAGTTCCATGATAGTTGAATCGGACCACGACCGTAGTACTTTTTGCCCGAGGCACATGGGTATTGTGGGTATTTTACGTCATCGCAGTAATTTTGTGAGGCTCCGTTTATCTCTTCTATGTAGCAGAAATCTTTACGAAATACAGATAGACATGGAACAAAGTGCTTTAGAAACAACTCAATGATTTGGGCATCAAGTCAAATGTTCAACTTTTTTATATATATGGAAAAGGTTTAATCGTATACATATTTAAACTCTTAACGTGTACATATGCTTTAATCATATACTATTAGTTGTTATGTTATTATTTAGTAACATATATGTATTAAAAACAAATTTAGAGAAAGAAAATAAGTAAAGAAAAGAAGAAATTCTTACATCCGATTTCTTGGGTGAAATGAGCAAACATAGTAGCAATTTCACGCTTAGTAACGGAATTGACAAAGTTGGGGAAAGTATTAGCTGCGTTAATGAAAGATTCACGCGTGTAGAAAGTTTTTCCGGCGCAGTCATTACCGGCCTTGTTGATAATACTATTAAAGAAAGCTTGGGACACAATGCTACCAACACCATTGGGTTGGGTTCCAGTGCAAGGACCTGATTGGCAACCGGGACCACAGAATTCATTACCCGTACCGCAATAACCGTACTGACTACAACACTGGTCCGGGGAACAACCACAGTTCTGCGAGTTGACGGTTTCAGAATAGAAGCATAAGAGGCAAAGAAGGACTAAGGAGTTTTTTGTGAGAGCCATGTTGTTTGTAGATGAGAAGGAAAGAGGCTGTGAAGTGTGTATATATATATAGGGATA